GTGCACTGCCATCATAAAGACTCCGAAGTCAGGTCTCTCGTTTCTCAAGGCCCCGATTTTGTGTGTGTGTGTGTGTGTGTGTGTGTGTGTGTGTGTGTGTGTGCGTGCGCGCGTGTGGGTGTGTGTCTAGGCATGCAGCCGCTGATGTACTCGGTTCAGGAGGCCATCAGTGGCAGGCCTTGCTGGGTCAGAACAGGAACAGACATCTGTTACTATAAGTAGGTCAAATTCATATAGAACAAGAATATCGCCTTTTCTTCTGGATATTCACATTTTCTCTTGTGATATGCTTCTCCATTCAGATCAGATAACTTTTTCTTTCTTACATTACGTGATCATGATTTTATTCATACTAAAATTGCAACTTTTGTGCCTTATACATACAGTTTTTAAAGCTTTTCTTTGCAACCCCCCCCAGGAACCATTTTGCCAGGAGTTCCATCGCAACTGGCGGTCAGAAAGGGAAGTCCTACTACACAATGAGCTTCAGCACCGCCTTCAGCCACAAGGATGACGTCTGCTACTTTTCCTATCACTACCCGTACACGTATTCCTCTCTTAAGGTATTATTACAGATCGCCGGACGTTGGCAGAATTTTTCAGAAGTCAAATGCCAATTTGTGGCATCGTATGTTTTCAGATGCACTTGTCAAAGCTAGAGGCTTTGAGGGCCCCTGAGATTTACCTGCGAGAGGATGTCCTTTGCGAGACGCTGGGGGGAAACAGCTGCCCGCTCCTCACCGTCACCGCCATGCCGGAGTCTAACTCCAGTGATCACATCTGCCAGTTTAGTAAGTCAAACTAGCAAACCTTGTTTCTCCCCTTGGGCCATAGCAACTTATTAAGTTGTTTATTCTCTCGTCTTTTGTCATATACGATTATAACTTTATGGTCATAATATTATAACTGCATTTGTCCTAAAATGACAGCTTTATTGTCATGAAGTCACAAGTTGATATTTGTCCTAAAATCACAATGTTTGTGACAAAAATGCTGACTCCTAATATTACAATTTGTCCAAAAATGAGGACTTTGTTCACTAAAATTTTGATTTTGTTCTGCGACACCCTTGTGAGGATAAGCGGGTCAGAAAATGGATGGATGGGTGAATATTATGAATTTACTGAAATATATAATTCAGATTTTTATTCTCATAAAAATATCAACAACAAAAAAAAATTCTACTTTATTCCTGTGAGGAAAAAAAAAAGTTTAAACTTGATACATATTGAAAGAAAAAAAAAAAGATCTTCCCTCTCTGCAGGAAATCGTCCATTGATCTTCCTTTCAGCCAGAGTGCACCCTGGGGAAACCAATGCCAGCTGGGTGATGAAAGGGACGCTGGAGTTTCTGATGGGTCCGAGCCTGCTGGCGGCCACCTTGCGAGAGTCTTACATCTTCAAGATCGTGCCCATGCTCAACCCGGATGGCGTCATCAATGGAAAGTGAGTGTGCAGGTGTGCAAAACGGGAGCTTAGACTCGACCGGCTGCTTTTAAAAGCACTTTTGTTTTGGTTTAGTCATCGTTGTTCTCTGAGCGGGGAAGATTTGAATCGCCAGTGGCAGAACCCCAATCCTGAGCTGCACCCGACCATCTACCACACCAAGAGCCTGCTGCAGTACCTTGCACACACGCAACGAGCACCACTGGTACACCTTCATACCACATTATTGATTTCGGGATTGGTTGTGTGAGTTGTGACGTTACGTGTGTGTGTGTGTGTGTGTGTGTGTGTGTGTGCGTGCGTGTGTGTGTGTGTGCGCTCAGGTTTTCTGCGACTACCACGGCCATTCCAGAAAGAAGAACGTATTCATGTACGGCTGCAGTTTGAAGGAAACAATATGGCAGTCCAACATCAGCACGGCGTCCAATGACATAGAAGAGGACCTCGCGTACAGGGTGAGCGCGCAAGACGCTCCTAACACACACGCTTAAACCCACACAGTGGTCTGCTTCTCACTTTTGCCGATGTTTTCAGGCCCTACCAAAGATCCTCTCCCAGATCGCGCCGGCCTTCAGCATGGCCAGCTGTAGTTTTGTGGTGGAGCGCTCCAAGGAATCGACGGCGCGCGTGGTGGTGTGGCGGGAGATTGGCGTGCAGCGCAGCTACACCATGGAGAGTACCGTCTGCGGTTGCGACCAGGGCAAATATAAGGTAACGTCTGGTGACCTCATTTTTGCTTGCACGGCTGGGAAACCGTGCCAAGTTGCATTTTGTTCGTATGCTTTGTTTATTGAATGGTTTGCTTCTTTTCTATAGAGCGGTTTTGGGGCCAGAGGCACTTTGAATTTCATGTGATTGTGAAAAGTAAAGTTGTAAACTTTTGGATGAAGAAAGTTGGATAAATCAGCATGTGATATTGTGAGAAGATACATTATCTTATTGGAGAATTTAATCGTAATAATAAACCATTAACAAATAAAGTCATGATTTTAAAACACTATCAGTGACAGCAGTTACTACAGTGGACAGCTTATCATGTATCAGGTGACAGGCTGCATGAAAGGGTTCAAATAAATAATTAGCCATTTTTTTCAACAGCGCCAGAATTATATGACAAACTTAGAAGATTAGGAGACAAAAGACACAATTTTAAGATGTTCATTTTAAGTTGTTAAATTATCAGAAAGAATTGCTCGAAAATCTTGTGATTTTATGTGAATGAAATTGTAATTTTCAGGTGTTGTGTGGAAAAATACATCATTCTATAAGAATACATTGTAACTTTAAGGGCAGATAAAAATAGTAATATTATCAAAGTCAATTGCAATTTTACATCAGTAAACCCAGAATTTGCGAATAGTGAAACTTTGAACGCTAAGAATAGAAGTCATACTTTTATATGAATAACACTGTAAAATACCCATAAAAAGACAACATTTTAATTGAATAAAATTGTAATTACATAACTTTGCTGCTGTGAATTGGGAATTTCTCCATTGCGAGACTAATAAAGGTTTTCTTATCTTATCTTAATTGTACATGCCACACATTTTTCTGATGCACAACCTCTAACCAAGAGGGAAGTTTCCACCAGGTGGTGCTGCAGTCCAACAGGCTGCCTTGGCAACAGAGGAACTGTTGTGTGATGAAAGGCTTTGGACATTGAAAAGTACTCCCGTTGTTTCTTGTGCTAAAGCGTTTGTCCATATGCAAGGCCCGACATGAAGTCTTTTTGGGCGGTGGCCCGATCAGCCAAGTTCTGGTGGCCCTGTGGTAATGGCCACGTATACGGTCGTAACCATGGAATACATTACGTTTTAGTAATGATTTCCAATACACAATACAATACATATTTATTGATATAGCGCTGTCACAACAGCTTCAGCTGTAACAAAGCACTTTCCAGAACAATTATTTCATATCATTGCCAAAATGCCTATGACTATATGCTAACCCTACTAAAATCAAGGCATTGGAATTGCTCAAATTAATATTAATGCTTCAAAGAATAAATCAATTACAAAATGTACTTACGCCGAGAATCCAACAATGCACAACACATAATAGATATATTTTTTATTTCAAGGTAGCGGCCCCCAAACCTTGTAGTTCCACTGACTGTTTTCATGTAAAGACCTATTTTGAAGGGCTGACATAGGAACAAATAAAAACACATGATTAAAAATAGCACTCAATATTAGGCACTGTTCAACAAGCCTTGTCGTATGCTGTATTCCAACAAGTGTTAGAGACTAATTTTGGTGTTGATGCGCGTTGTCCTACAATATCTGTGATGAATTACGTTCTTGTTAGCACACAGTTTTTATCCACATATTGCAGGACATAATAATCTGGTGATAAAGCGTCGTTTTGCGTTGCTGTCCTTGTCGTTCTATTTTATGGTCCCGCTGGCACTTGCATGAATCGATTAAGGTTAGCGGCAATCGGGTGAGTCGAACCAAACTTCATGAGGCTTACTCCGATTCATGCCCGTTGACCCAGTCAAGTGTCCGCTGGTTGTGTTTTGTCATTGCGTCATCACATTCTGTTTCTGCCAGGTTGTTGCAGTGATAAAAGTGTTTTTGGTCTGAAACACCAACAACAAAAAAAAATGCACTTTTTGGCGACTGTGACTTCGAAATTTGGACTGCCCTTGTTGGGCCAATGTCTGAAGCTGGGTAGTGGCCTAACACAGAGGCGAACTGGCCTGGGACCATCGGGCCACCATTAATGTTGTACCCTGAGATGTGAAGGAGCACACGAATCTGGCCCAGCATTGGCCTTCCTGCAGAAGGAACAAAAAGTGCTCTGTGAATGTGTGGTTGACTGTGTGTGTGTATTGTACTGTAAGTGTGTGAGCACTTCTCTGTTGAGACTTCACGGCCTCTTAACGATGCACATGAATCCGCACTTCCTGTAATGGGATGACAGTATATGAACATGTATTGACAGTCAAGCCTTTCCTCGGGTTGGTCGTTACAGCATTGAACCACAGTGCCAAATTCAAGTCAATATATGTCCAACTAATGGTGTGACAGGTTATCTTTTATGTGCAATTGATCTTATGATGAATCTATATCCGTGCAGGGTTTTCAGATTGGTACCAGGGAGCTGGAAGAGATGGGAGCTCAATTCTGTGTGGCCCTTCTAAGGCTCAAGAGAATGACGGGGATTCACAGCCATCAGCACCTGCTGGACCTCGAGAGTGACCTCATCGGGACACAGCCTAAAGTAGTCAGGTTAGAAATGACACCCAGAGGACATAACAGTGAGTTGATTGCGTCTTAAGACAAACAAAGCGACATTTGATGTGGTGAAAGTTGCTGAATACAATTGGGCAGAAGCCTTTTTAGCTGACTATTTGGAAACTATTATATTGATTTTGGGAAAAAAAAAGCACGCTCTTCCTGATAAGGACCGCATAAACACACTCACATTATAGTGCTCAGAGGTAGTACTTGGTATGAGGGCGCAGTCCTCAACCATGCCGCCAAACCCCAAGCTTAATTCAAAAAATGATTTGGAATATTTACCAAATTTATCCCACCAAAAAGAAAAAAAAAGTTCTAATTGTGTGTGAATAAAATGGGAATCATACAAGTCAACTTAGGTATGTAAATATCAATGGGAATTTACAGTGAGACACATCAAATGTTAAAATATGAAAAGAGCTGGCCTTTTGATATGAATAAAATCTGAATTGTAGGACTAAAATATTCTGAGAAAAAAGTACTATGGGGAAAAGTACATTAATAAAGTCGTAATTTTAGGACAATTTTAATTGAGATGTTACATGAAAAAGTGAGAATCAAATTTTAATTTTAGAACAAATAAAGTCAATACGACTGTTGTAATTTTATGTGAACAAAGTTGTAATATCAGCAGGGCAAAAAAAAAAAAGGCCACATGAAAATAGTTATTTTGTAAAAAAAAATGAAGTGCAAAGAAAAAAAAAGCATCTAATTTTATGTGTATATAGTGATAATTCTAGGACAAATAAAGTTGTAAGAGAGAAAGAAGTTGTAATTTTACTTGAGCAGTCAGCATTTTAGCGCAAACAGTGATTGTGATAGTAGGCGAAAATATTTCTGTGGAGAAATAAAGCCATCATTTTGAGAGAACAAAGATTTAATTTGATATATACAATTAATTTGTAATCATTTTACAGCAATCGTTTGATTCGCTGAAAAATAACGTCATCTTACAAGTGCAAATGTATTTTATGTATATCATGTCAGAAATTTAAGGTCAAATTTAGGTCAAATAAAGCAGTAATATTTGTAGAATTAACTTGTAGCCTACACGCCGACTGCCAATTTTAATAAGTCTTTTTATAGGATTCACTATGTACAAAAGGACAACTAACTTCCTACCTAGTGGTGATCCAGACATAGTCTGTCACCTAAATTGTACCGTAACGTTTTGCAGCTCTCTTCCAAACGTCAACAGACTACAAATTGTAACAACAAGCTATTTGTTTACGTAATCATTTGGATGTTTGCTGTCTCTGTTAAGTCAGTTGATGGCTTAATTCTCCAAAACCACTTAATACTCCCCCCACCCGCCCCCAAACCCCAGCACCACCCTTCCCTTGAGCATCTTCCTCTGGCCTTCTCCGTCTCCTCTGCTCTCATATTGATAGGTGTTCATTCATCATTGATGCCTTTGATCATTAAGGGACTCGCAATGTTCTCTCCTCGGAGATTGGATGCTCTCAGGCAGGCAGGCCGAGCCGCGCGCCCACCCATGCTAGCACTTAGCATTTAATAGGTCGTCATTGCAATGATATTGCGGCCATTGGGAGCGTCTGCCAGTTTGTAAAAGGCAAGATACGGTCAGTATGTGTGTGTGTGTGCGTGGATGGAAATGATGAGGCGCATGTGTAGTGTAGAATGGAGCAAAGAGCTACTGGAACCCAAAGAAAAGGACATTTCCTGTCCACTCGCAACTCTCATCACCATTACACGCACACACTTACAGTACACCATTTGTGTGTCTGTCTCCCACTAGTGCCGGCACGACACTGTCTCCCCGGGATCGCATTTCAGACCATTAACACCATTAAAAAGCCACTAAAGCCACTAAAACCTCAAAAGATGCAGCAGGCGTTTAAGCATCTGGTCCACGGGGAAAGAGAGAAACAAAGAAAGAGGTGTCCTTCACCAGCCATTTTGATTACAAATTATACTTTTTTGTAATAATGGAAAAAAAATTTAGATTTTATGCATTTAAAAGTTTTTGGGGCCATTTAATAATATATAGACGCCTTTTTTGCCTTTTGTCTGAAGACAAAATAACAGGGGGACATATGGTAATGCATATATTATTTTACTTCTTACAATGTAATTCGGACGATAAGTCGTGCAGGAGAACAAATCGCATCAGTCAAAAAAATGCACCATGAAGAAGAAAAAAACTTCCATCTAAGTCTCAGTGAACTTTTGGGGGGACATTTATTTGACAAAATTCGAGATCCTAGAACAGAAGCGCTCGGACTGGCACCCAAAATCCCCGTTCCCTCATCGTGTTGACGGCAGTTCTGGTTGAATACATAACTTCTGCTTCTAACTTTGGAAATGTTTTCTTTTGAGTTTAAAATTGCTTAGCTTAACTACAATTTTGCGTCATCTTCAGGCTTCTTGAAATAATGATTTAGGGACTCCAAAACCAGAAGGTGGTGGTAATGCCCCAAAAGTATTTGCCAACCACCCAAAGAAGAAGAAGAAGAACAACAACAACAACAAAATGAAGAAAAAAATTGGTGCAACTAACGTGATCTATGATGTGAGTTTGCTGCCGCCTCTCACGGCAAAAAAAAAAAATGAAGGGACCACCTCCGGAGCTAGCTTGCTAATTAAGCATGCAGCATCTGCCACAGCACCAATAGACACAATAACCAGGATTCTACCTTTGGCCACACTGCAACGCTAGTTAACGTAAGTCATTTTAAACTAAAAAGAAAAACTTTTCCGTAGTTACAAGTGGGAGTTAACTTCAATTTATTTTGACCGAAACTCCTATTTTGCACTTTTGATTTATTTCAAATCAATCCTAAACCAGAGTGAGTTGTTTGTGTTTTATTTTGAACTTTGAACAATAGTGGTGTCGGTTACTTGGTATTGACAAGTACTCAAGAATTGAGTACTCATCAGGCTATCAGTCTGAAAAAAATGGTTTCGAACATTCCGAAAATTATGTATTACCTGCACCTAATGGATCTTTGTTCTGCTATCTATGCCAATGACACAAAGTGACAGGCGCAAAAAAGGCTCTTTCATTCGATGGCAGATGGAACAAAAAAATCGCGGTGGCATGCATTTCAGTTCAATAGGGAAAATTGATTTGATATACGATAAACAGAGCAGCAATATTGGTCACTCACAAAAGCCAAGGTACCACTTTTTCCTGATTTTTAACTTTTTCATGTACCAATAAAGATAACCTGTAACCTGATAACATGATAAGCTGTCCACTGGAGTAACCGCTGTCCCTGAAAGGGTTAGTCTTGATAACATTACATGTGTCTTTTGTGTCGCTCTGCAGCAGCTGCCCCACCACCTACGTCATGGACGAGGATGAGCCGTCCTTCCTGGAGGCGGTGGATTACAGCGCCGAGAGCAACGACGAGGACACGGAGGTGGACCTGGGGGCCGCCGCCGCCGCCGCCTCCGCCACCACAGACACCGGCGAAGTTCCGGAGCTGCTGTCAGACTCCGAGAACAATCGCGACGCTTGGAAATCTGAGCCTGTCACTAGCAGCCAATGACTGTTTAAAACAAACAAACAATTATTTATTTATTTATTTGTTCATCTTTTTTTTTTTCCCGAGCAGTTTCAATTCCAAAACTACTGAAGGTAACAACACTCACATTTTCCATTTTATTTTTACTGTCGATGTATCTCTGTCTCGAAGGCTGGATTTACACTGCAAATATGACTGTTTTTACCTTTACTTGAATACAAGCATGCGCTTAAACAAGTGTGAACATAGGACAGCGACAGCGCTAATAAGTATAAGACAAATGTTAACTGTTACACTTCAGGTCGGCCTGTGCTGGCTAAACACAGAAGGTGACCGACTTGGTCTGTACAAAGTGCTCCGAATTGGTTTCACCCCACATTCACAATCAAAAGTTTTTTGTTGGTCTTTTTTTTTTAAAAAAATATATATAAATAAAATATAATAATGTGTAATAAAATATAATAAGAATTTTAAATAATACAATACAATAGCTGGTATTTGAACAGGGGTGTGAAGATTTTTTTTTTATAAACACTGTTCATTCTTCTCAGTTTTTTCTATGGACAGTACACGTGTAGTGTTATTTTCATCTTGTTTTTAATAACATAAAATAAGTCCTTTTAATTTTGATTCCTCCAAAAATAATAACATTTTCTTGAAATCTCCTGAACCTATTTGCGCTAAAATTACAACTTTATTCACAAGCAACAAGTACGGGATGCATTTGTTTCTCATATTGTTCTGACTTCATTTGTCTGAAAATTACAAGATTTTTTTTTCCATTTAAAATTGTGTTTTAAATGCCATTTCAAATATGGACAATATACGTGCATATGCGCAAAATATGTGCTCTGAATATATTTCATTTTTTTATCGTAACATTTCCCAATGCATGGATAAAAACTCCACTATCCTAACCCAACAATAAAGGGTTTGAAGCAAATCACAAAAGAACCACATCCTGTGATTTTTTTTTTCCCCCCAGTGCAAAGGGCTCTCTTGCACAAAACTGCTGAACAAGAAACTAACATTAACTGCAAGAACTCATTTTGTGCATTTTCATAAAAATCAACTCCCTCAAAATTGTATTTTTATGGTTTATAGACTCAAGGTGTAGTCTAGGACAGTATAAGACCTGGTCTAAGTGTAATTTAGCCATGTCTGCCCTAGTGCTGAATGGTGATATTCCATCTTAAAACTACAGTCGATAATATTCATTCATTTTATTTTTTTTTCTTCTTCTTTCTGTACAATGTTTTTTAATATTCTGCATTTTTCAATTTTTTTTCCCAGGATTTTTAAAATCAATTTTGCCCTTTTTTATTAATGGAAAACATAATGAATGTATCCGATTTTTAAATGTATTTATTTTCAAGGGGCCACTCAGAGAGTGTGATGGACCGTGAGCTGCCTGTTTGTCCATCACTGTCCTAAATAGTACCGAAAGTTTAAAATGACGAAAGAATTACGTTCCAAAACTAGACATTTTTCATCCCAGCCTGCCAAGTCCACCATTAGATGCACATTTTTAACGTACGACTGAACTCACTGCGAGGCATCCACTGAGAAACACCGCCTACACACCTGTAATTTACCATATCTGGACTTCACTTAATGCCACATGCTTTCCATCTAAAAGGTTATTTTATTTGTTTGGGTCAACATGCGTGTGTGTACACATGCCATCCATTTGCTGTATCTTGATGACCTCACATTGCCCTCGCTTGACGCATGTAGTGTAAATCCAGCCTTAATGCCGGTCACGGCAGAAACCTCCGCAACCGCGGGTCCTTTTGACCTGCTGTTTGGTGCACCACTTAAGACTATCCCCCCCCCGCAAATGGGAGAAGTCACGTTCACCGCAGATCACTTCTTGGACTTGCTCATAAATTTCCCTCCGTAATGACCCTGGGGTGGCATCGGAGGCTCGCAAGGGCCTGTGTCATGACACCAAAGCTTCCCAGACGACCGAAACGCATGCCTTCTCATGCTTAGCCTGCACTTTAACTTGTTTACTCCCCACTTACTGTCTTAACATGAGCTGTGGCGGAAATCTCTACGACTGAACCCAAGTGTCCCCCTTGTAGAAAGACGCTTGATGAAACTCGCAAGCATCCCTCCGCCGCCTTTAAGTGTGTTGCACATACAGCGGAACCTTGAAAATGGAACACCTCTGATGTTATAAAAATCTGAATGTTGTGGATACATTTCCACACCATCTTACAATATCTCATGGGAGATCTCAGATCAGTGAACTTAGTTTTTTTTTTGGGGGGGGGGGTTTGGGGTCAGTTATTGGTCACTTGGGGGTGCACAATTTTAGGGGTACAACATTGCAAAGGAAAAAAAGATTTTAGTAGGAGCAGAATTACTGCTTTTTGAAATATAAAATGTCATCCATCCATTTTATCAAGTGCGTACCCTGTTTAGTTATGTCAAAACATCAAAATATAAAAAGGTCATGCACTATTATACATTAAAAAAATAGTCATAAAAAATTTCCCCGCAATTTTTGAAATCATAATATGAGTATTTTTCCATACGCATGACTGACTGCTAAGAGAATGCTTTTTGAGCCGTCGTCATTTATCGTTAAAAGTTTAGTGGGTCATTTTCACTTTTACATTCGAATATGTGACATTAATCTCTAGCCGAGCTGTCTATAAGTATTCAGTGACGGCCACAGTTTGACCCTGGCAGGGATGAATTCTCTCTCCCATCTTTGGTTTGGGAAAAAAACTGCTTTGAGACAGCAACAAATATGAGGTTCCCCCTTCAAGGTTCCCTTTGTGTGCCCTTCTGCTGTTTACGTAAGCCCCCAAAACATATATATATATATATATGACACAAATGCTGAATGTTCACAAAGACAGTGCAGTGTACATACGTTGTATAACACGCAGCATTAAATATCGAGCTTAAATGGGCCAGAAGCCGCACAGATCACATTAATGGTGTTTGTACCTTTATATTTACCCACTGTGTCTATGAATGTATGTAATATGTGTGTGTATGTGTGTGCGTGCTTTTGTGTATCGAGAGTCCCAACTATAGCCTAGAAGTTTGTTTCACTTGCTTGTGAACATGCATTTTCTTTCCACTTGTTGCTTTTTACTGAGATGTTAATGGAGTATTGTTTCTGGGATGCGACCTGTGTGGATGTATATTAAGCATCTCAGCATGGGAGTGCCTAATTGTGTGTGTGTGTGTGTGTGTGTGTGTGTGTGTGTGTGTGTGTGTGCGCACAATTGAAGTTATTCCATTATTCAGCAACACTAATGCTTCGGTACTGTGTGTTCCCTCCCTCAATTTGATTACGCCTCCCCCTCCTGCCCCCGACTCTCACCCTCACTCTCGCCATTTTCTCCCTCCATCAAAAACCTCTCCATCCTTTTTTTTTTTTTTTTAAACTTGCATTTTGTTTCCCTCATGCACGTCTTAATAATGTGTGCGTGCGTGCGTGTGTGTGTGTGTGTGTGTGTGTGTGTGTGTGTGTGTCTGATGATGATAAAACTGAATTTTTGGGGGCCTGCTGAAACAAAACAGTCAAAAAGAGAAGCCAGAAATAAAATGTGAACATGATCAACTGTGACTCATTAGCACTTTTGTATGTGTGAGTGTGTGTGTGTGTGTGTGTGTGTGTGCGTGTGTGTGTGTGTGTGTGTGTGTGTGTGTGCGTGTGTGTGTGTGGTATGGATTGAGCCATTTACATCGAAGTAATCGCCTCAATTAGCAAAAGGCTCCAACGAAGATCATACAGGGTGTCGCGAATCACAAATATGTGAGTTTTACTGCCAACTAACAGGCCAGATCAAGTTTGGGGTGAGGTTTAGGGTCAGGCTTTAGGTTCCAGTTAGGGTAAGGCTATGTATGGTTATGATATCTAGGGTTACAAATGTATTTTCCCTGAAAATGTTGGTCTTATTCAAGTTTTATGAGCTCGTTGAACTTTGGAGGATCCACTCGACTTTATATTCACGCAAATAAGCTGATTGTCTGCTTTTGTAATAGGCTACACACTTGAACGCACGTCATATCGTACAAGTGAGGATAAAAACATCATTCAGCCACCTCGTTATCTTTTTTTTTTTTTTTTTTGCCAAGGGTGTTCATCTTTTATTTGGGCCACTATAAAATTATACAGCCGCTTTTCTTTTTCTTCTTAAACAGCTTAGCCAACTCATTACGGCCATCGAAATAGATTTACCAATTCAGTGGAAAGGGTTATATTTTCCTTTTAAAGTTATGTGTATTTGTTTATTTTTGCAGGACCGATGCTGGTTTAGCCTGCTTATATTTCTTAATTATTTGATTTCCTCCTCCATTGGCAAGGGTGTCATTATTATAATTTTTTTGAATGCCAAAATTACAAAAAACAAAAACAAAACAAAACATAAATTGCACATAAAAATGGCCAAGAAAGTTAATTTAGTATTTGGATAAAAATACATTTTTTTTTTTTGTGTGTGTGATTGGCATGTGAAAAAAAAATGTATGCATCTTGATGCCACAATGAACAAGACAAAAAGCTCCAAAAGGTCCTCATTGAGGAATGAAGAAAGCAAAGGATAAAAAAAAAAAAGGTTCCGTTCCTTTCTGTCAATCACAATTGCTGAAGTGCACTTGACAAACACCCCCCCCCACACACACCTATTGCATTTCTAAACCCCCTCGTCCCCTCATCCAAATCTCCTCTAACATCATCCTCGAATTATTTTTGATTTAAGTACAGAAAACTGCATACTTGTTCTCAGAAAGACATTGAATCCCCGCTATTTGCTTTCAAATCAATCTTCCTTTATGTGTGTGCATGTGTGAGAGTTGTGATGCAGTGTGGGAGCTCGCAGCGGGCCAATTAGCGCAGTGGTCCGACTTGGCTGCTCGTCAAGCGCTCTGGTGGTCCTCCTGAGGGGACACAATGGCTCCTGTGAGAAACTACAAGACCGCAAGGAACAAGAGGCCTGCAGTGTGTGTGTGTGTGTGTGTTTGTGTGTGTGTGTGTGTGTGTGTGTGTGTGTGTGTGTGTGTGTGTGTGTGTTGCTTGATCTCACTCGAGCTTTGCCTACAGCCCAAAAATGCATCTTCCCTTTGGGTAAATTCCTTCAGCGCACCTTGTTGTCTGCCATGACGGCGCGCATGTCACCGTGTGAAACGCAGAGGCTACGGGGCAGGAGGAGTCTGACTTGACAGCCAAGATGAGGGCTTGGTGAAAATCAAATGCAAAGAGTTTCTTAAAGTTCCACAACAATTCATTTGATTTATTGAAATGTATTTCTGTACTGTTTGTGATTCCTGATTCCTAGTTTTGATGTACAGTCATACCTCGGTTTTTGACCATAATCCGTTCCAGAAGGCTGTTCGAAAACCGATTTGTTCGAAAACCGAAACCATGCTCTTTTAAAAAAAAAAA